AGTTCTAAAACTCGCTACAAATTAAACTCGACATGCTTTTTCATACAGAAGTAAATTAGAGCTTTTTATTTACAAGTTTTAGCCGCAACTTTTTAGCAGCTTTTATCGCACAATTTATCGTTCAAAATGCTGTCTTTCGTGGGCTGTTACTCAAATATCTTTTGTTGTGATATTAGCCTATACTATCAATCTTCGATTACGCATGCGTGCGTGCTTACGATATGCCAAGCTCAATTGTCTCCCACATTGAAGATGATACGTTGAATGCTGTGCTATAAAAGGTACGTATTTTAGAGGCAAGTAGCAGCTTGGCCAAAGCTAGGGGTTATCATGTGCGCGACGGCGTGTGAATGGTCTTGGGGCCGGTAATTCCCTCCCATGCAACCAAGCAAGCCACCGTGAGTTCCTTGATAAACAAAGACCTTTTATAGGCGCCCCGAMKTTCAAGRAAKGCCCGTACGCTAGTACTCGCTTTGCAGGAAAGTCGTGATTTCAACTGTAGGTAGAGGCTAGTATCAACGTACGTGGCGTGGTCTAGGGGACCCCATTCTTTTCAGTTTTACTTTGATACTGTTTGGTGCAGTTTCTTTTTAATTATTTCACAAACACAGACGATAAGATTTGACACTGGATGAAGAAACGGATTTATATAGTTGCAAATATGAAGTAAAATTCGTCATCAATTTGACTTTGATTCGTGTATATCTTCTAATTATTTAATTTATGAAATTTCGCTTATTTTCTTTTTATCTATGACGAATTTATTTTATTTAGCGTACTTTTCTAAAACTGGACACGTTCCTCCTCTTGGGGACTCGGACGAGTATAGCCATGATCCTTTGCGATATTCTTTTGTCTCGCTGAGCGCGGTCATTTCAACGGTCATTTTGAACAGTGAGTCTATAATRTTTCTGTCTAATAGCAGTTTTTGTGGATTATATTCGTTTACAAACAGCTTCTGTCTACCAGTAAGCTATCCGAGTAGCTGCAGTGTCTTTAGGCATGATATTTTAGCGTGGAAGACAGAGAACTGGTGAGATACTATGCCGAACAAAGTGATGTAGGTACGTTAAGTTGGAATTTGTTTTGTCGTAAGCAGTACCGTTGTTGTTGAGTTATATATCATTCCATCCTGATATTAAGCATAATTAAACCGTGTAACAATATTTTTCTCGATCGTAGACACCGAATCAAAGACTTGAAGTGAATGAATATGGATGCATGTACTGCAGGAAGCTCAATCAGCTGAAAATATGTGGGTCATAAGCAAGATTTAAGTTACATTTTAAAGTAAACAACTGTAGTTCTCATGTTTTAGTTCATCTTTAGCAATCTGTTGAGTTTAGCTAAGCAGAGCTTATCTTTGGCTTATTTAATTATTATATCATGTTAAAACAGTGTGATTATAAAAAAACTTTTGATTTAGAAGTCCTGCTTTTGTTATCATTACACATGATAGTTTTGTTACTTTTTGATTGTATTCATTTTGGTTTTAAAATACTTGATTTCATAGCCAAAGATCAACTTTCTAAACAGAAATGTGAGAATTACAATTGAAATTCATTTATATTTGCTGTCATACGCACTATATAGCCAATGATATAATTTCATTCATTGCATGAATATGTTAAGTAAGCAGCTGTTGTTTTTTATATTAAGCTTTGTTACCTTTGAGTATTTAGAAAAAATGCTCCATAATAAAAGGTTTTTGCCTGTTCCAAAATAACAATAACAGACATAACTGGCTGATTTCTATTATCTGAATTTTTGTGTGCAAATTGATGTGTTGCAATTTTAAAGAAAAGGTTCAAAAGCTACATTGGGACTTGGAAATACAAATTTGATCTTTGAGTATTCAATCAGTAAGCATAGTGATAGAGTGAGATATCAATTGAGCACGAGAAGTTAAAATTATTATTTCCAAGTGCCCATGTAATGTTCTTTTATATCAACATCAGGGCCGTAACTAGGGGGGGAGCACTGGGGGCACGTGCCCCCCCCCTTTAGACCAAAAGGTCCGCTTTTTATCACCATTTGTTGCTTGAAAAATAAAACAATGACTCCAAAAAAGTTTCTACTTTACTGTAAAAACATAGGTTCAAAGGTTCATTTRTTTGATGTTAAAGATTCCATACTGMATTTATATTAAAAAGATGATATAAAGAGTCTTTATATTAGTTTTAGTTCCGTTTTTACTTGGAGTGCCCCCCTCAAAAAATCTTCTGGTTACGGCCCTGAACATTGTATCACAATGACAACAATGAATTCTTCACATGTGAAAGATATGATATCTTTCCATGGTTCAACATATTGCATTTTCAAAAGTAAAGAAAACCTGGCATCTCATCGATATGTATAATAAATAATAATAACATAGCCCAATTCTGTTGTTTATGTCAGTTTATACACAGCCAGCCTGTGTAAATACTAAATCAGTCTTTATAGTTGTTTTATATAATAAATCTTTTTTTTCCCCAACACATGTCACTAATATCTCTAATTTCAATATGACTATGCTAAAGGAGTATATTACAGAGCTGATGACAAGCCTGATCAAAATACAACTGAAAATCAATCTGCTGTTAAAACAAGTCCTTGATTGTTAACATTGCTAGGTCTTTCCTTATACATGAGCTACATGTATTTTAAAAATTATTCCATATACTGATATACCCATTCAAAAAAGTTCTCATACATAATTGATGAGTTATCATGAGTTATTAGGCTAATAGAATGAGCTTATTTGGTCACATGCATGGACCTTTATTAGAGTTCTTTATATAAAAACACTCCTTATCAGTATTCTTTATATAAAGAATACTAATAAGGGTGACCTTAATCAGATATAAAAGATATGGTTTTAATAACAATTATTATTATTATCATTTTTTTCGAAATCAGTAATGAGTATTGCCTTGAGTATTAGCAATATATTTTATGTACATACTGTATGTTGAATTTATTTATATATCTGATCCTATGATCATATTTGATTCATGTAAGAATTGTGTCAAGTTTGATAATAAATGATTGTCAATAAAAGTTTGAATAAAAGTGTCTTATTTCAACATTGCATGTATTTATTTTTGTTGATTTTTAGATGTTCGAAAGAGTAAATGCTTTTTGAAAATGGCAAAATTCATCAATAAATTCGAATAATAATTTGAGATACGTGTCTAGACTTCTAGTATTCAGAGGTATTCGTAATATAAATTTGAGTTACGCGATCAGAATACGTATGGGACTTCTAGTATTCAGAGGAATTCGTAATATGAATTTTGAGTTACGCGATCAGAATACGTGTCTGGACGTCTAGTATTCCGAGGTATTCCTAATATGATTTGGGTATCGCGATCAGAATACGTGTCTGGACTTCTAGTATTCAGAGGTATTCGTAATATAAATTTGAGTTACGCAATCAGAATACGTATGGGACTTCTAGTATTCAGAGGTATTCGTAATATGAATTTGAGTTACGCGATCATAATACGTCTGGACTTCTAGTATTCGGAAGTATTCGAAATAAGTTATAGGGACATTCGGTAAGAATATGTCTGGGATGTAAAGAAGTCGCTAGTATTCTTAATAGACACGTGAGTTCTTCAATTATTTGGTTGGTAATGGTTTAGACAAATTGTGGGTTTATCTAGGATATTCAAGTTGAATACGTCGAAAACTAAAAGTATGCAAGGATGTACGTATTGCACTACGTAAAGTCAGTCGAGAGTATGAAGGGCGAAAATGGAAAAACTGGCTGGATTCGTCCAGAGTGATTCGAACGTGTCGTCACGCGTATCTACTTGAATATTTCTGAATACGTGAAATATACGGGTCCGTTTTCAAGAGTATTCTTTTCGAATATTTGCCTTTTGGCACAGTGCGGTGCAAATTTCTTTCGGAGTCAAACATACTGATTGTCTAAGAAACGACTGTAAAACTCTAGCCAATAATAAATCGACATTTGATGACGGAGAACTTGAAGTTGCTCTGCGAGTTTTCTTAAAAGCTAAAAATGTCCCGCCAAAAACAACTGATTTTGAGATAAAAATCCTGAAAATAGCTCTATTTTCCCTATAAATGATCGAATGCCCTTTTTTCGCAGTTTCATTATGAACTATTTTTAGATTTAACCAGAATTTATAGTAATTGCCCAGAATCTCGACGCAGTCTCAATTTTTTCTCGTGTCTCAATTTTAACGGGAGAGCCTTCTATTTCTTAAATACAATATGCATAATAATTATTCAATAGAAGATATACTATGGGTACCTTCATCTTTAAACGAATGATCAAATCTTTTRTAGATTTTGTCGGTCAGTGAGTTGTAGCTCCATCCATCATTTTCCATCCCACAAGGTCCAGTGTCAAATCCGCATATACCTTAATTAAAATATAATTTCTTTAAGGATAAAGTGCTTTTATATACGGTAGCATAAAAATTAACATCAGTATTTTATAAAGCCAGAATTTTAGTTTAATAAAACACACAGTGCTTTGACTATATTGAAATGCCAAATCAGTTATTTGACATTCAACTCATAAGTTTGCTATCTTTCTAGAAATGGACTTGAAAGTTAGTTTACAAACCTCGGAAGCAATCATTTACCTATACTATGATATATCCGAATTACATTTTATGCAAGTAATTAGTGATTTACATGCTAATTAACATATGCGGTGTTTTTTTTTTTTTTCAAAAAACAGACAAACAAACAAACAAACAAACAAAAAACAAAAAACAAAACAAAAACAAAAGCAAAACTCGATTTCTGGAAAAAGTCGTCCTTTTTATTTTGATAAAGAATTTAGGATCTTTCCATATAAACATGAGACACAAGCTTGGCATGTTATAAAAAATTGCTTGGAAGAAGTCCCTTTTTCGACCAATTTTCTGAAAAAGGGGTGATTTTTAAAACAGTATATATGTTAATTAGCATGTAAATTAGCATGTAAATTACAATCCAAAAATATCAGAGTAGAGGTAAATGATTTCTTTAGAAGTTTGTCAAGTTTAATTTGAAGTTCTTGAAAGAAGCAAAAGTTATGAGTGTAACATCAAATAACAGATTTGGCATTGTGCAGATGATGATTTTGTTTTTTTAGTTTTTTTGCAGGGACATGTGTCATTACATATTGTGCTCTGTTCGACTCTGTGTTTTCTATAACGACACTGCTTGCTTACAACATACACTAGTTGTGTTCTATATGGCTTAAAGGTAATATATGAAGATGAGTTGTCCCATAATTTAATCATGAATTCGTTGATGAGATACCTCTTGATATACCACAATTTGCAKTCTTCTCCCTGCAAATATTTGTGTGGTATTTGGCGAATTTCCCTAAATGATAAAATTGAGCACGTAAAAATAAATAATCATCGTTTTTAGATACAACTAATTTCAAAAATGTTGTCCTGAGATATAGTTGTTTAGGAAATTAGGGATACATTAAAATTATACAAAAGATGACCACTGAAGTCGAACACTTTCTTTTGCATTTAATCAAATCCTACAGTACTGGAAGTAAGAGGCTTTTTTTATTGGACAACGTTTTTGTAATTAGGAGTAGTATATCTAATACGCTTTATTTCGGTATCACGTGGTTTGAGATTGTAGCAATAATCGCAATAGATTGTTAAAATAAAATAGGCCAATCGCTTGATTTCATTTTTTACTTTCCCCTATCAATCTCAGACCGCCTTAGAGATTATAATTGCACAGTCCCTTATGAATGAAACTAAGTCAAACTCTTTCTTTACACGAAGGGTCTTCCTTTTTTAGGTACGCGTATTGCCTACGGATATATCTACGCCTTTGGAACAACATAAAAATACTCTATAATTGAGTTTGTTAATTAAACCGTGTTAAACATACAGCATTCCGAAATATTGTACGTTATATCTTCGCATTGTGATGGTAAAGTTGGACATCTTCCATCGATGCATCGAAACCCAGGACAGTCATCAGGCTCTAAATAAATATTTTGCAATATACATGTCAATATAAATCGTTTTATTTCTTGAAGCAACTATATTAAGTCATGTTTTATAGTCTTGAAATAAGATAAATTTTGCTTACGTATTGACGTTAGTATGTGACTACTATACAAGCCACCACTTATTCCAGTTTGATTACTTTACCAGCGTCCGAAATGTAATGAAAGCTACTTTACAGTGTAAAACTCACCTTATTTTACAACAGTTTCTTTACAAACACCAACGCAGCTGACATGATTTTCTCATCATCTTTTATATTAAGTCGTGCACGATCAAAATGTAATGAATTRATTAATAATGACATACCGTTACCACATCGCATTTCATCTTCGTTTTTACAATCTAATTTCTTATTGCAGAGCTTAGAGGCGTCCACGCATGATCCATCGAAGCACCTAAATTGACCYGTAAGGCAAGCACATCCAGTTTCATCCGAACCATCGATGCAATCGTCTTTGAGCCCGTCACATCTTTTATATTTGTCAATACATTCTCCATTGTTACACTGATATTGTGAATCTGCACATCGATACCCTGTGAGAAAAACAAAATGGCCTTTTTGAAAGGATAGTTTCCGCAGGTAACTATTAAATATTTTTTTGGAAGATCGGGGTGGAAAGAAACTACTACTAATAATTCTAATAATATCGATATTCAAATATTATACTATTTTCGACAATGAAATTCCGGCACAGGCAGCCCAAGCTAAGCATTTGACTAGCAGATTACAGCGATATCTATAATGCATGTAAATACGAAATTTTTGAAAGAAAAAATAAGTAAAAAACATTTTTCTTACCTTTTGATGTGGTCTTAGTTATGAATTTAGGCGTAATTTGCCGTTTTTCTTTGATATCTCCCCTCCTTTACTTATATCACTGAAAGGCAGGACAGACCGGCTCGAAAAAATTCAATGGTCAGATCACTTTTTCAGCAAAAATTGCATCTTTTTCGTCCAATTTGATCCCAATTCATCGTTGTAGTTTCGTTGTAGACAATCAAACAGAGAAGCCATTCAAATTATCAAAACACTCATCATGTGACCGTTGCCATGCTAGCACTGCGATGCACAGCCAATCAAAAACAATCTTTCGACGGAAAACCCATTCAAATTTTCAAAACACACCGCCTTGATTGATCTGCAAGTACTTCAAATGCCGTACGGATGTAAACTAAAAGGTCTACTTTCTTACAATCATTTGCTCGCGAAGATTTGTCTCTTCGGAATCGAAGCTATTAYGACGAACCATCCAGTGGTGCGTATTAAAATGTCCTTGCCAAACCGAGGTTCTGGCTGCGTTTGGCGGTGGAGTAGGGGACCACGGCTTGCGGGATTCACCAAAAGAGAGTGAAAATCGATCTAAATCACTCTTAATCTCCGTTGAACGTTTTTCTTTGASATTGRGATTTACACAGGAGTTGGAAAAACGGTTGGTGGTGGCTATGGCGAGGATTTCGATTCAATTTGGACGTAAAAGATGCAATTTTTGCTGAAAAAGTGGTGTGAGCATTGATTTTTTTCGAGCCGGTCTGTCCTGCCTTTCAGTGATATAAGTAAAGGAGGGGAGATATCAAAGAAAAAAAATTACGCTTAAATTCATAACTAAGACCACATCATAAGGTAAGACAAATGTTTTTTACTTATTTTTTCTTTCAAAAATTTCGTATTTACATACATTATACATATCGCTATAATCTTCTAGTCAAATGCTTAGCTTGGGCTGCCTGTGATTCCGGTTCGGAAAAGTAGCAAACCCCTCTACGTCACAACATGGTAGGCCTTGACTGCTGTGTTGACATTATTCGCCAATAGAGTTTCAGAACAAAGAACGCTAATGTTATTTACCCAAAGTCACATCAGTTTTGAAGTCTGATAGTAAATATATTCAAATCCAGTGTTTGTTAGCTCTTGTTAGTCGGACTAGCCGAAGGCGAGGTCCGACTTTAAAATTACCTTTTAGCCAATCTATCTGTGTATCATGTCGCGTTTGGACCACCGGAAGTTAAGAATTTAATGACCGGAAGCTCAAACGTATTGATGTACGAATATCGTTAGTAAATATCATATGCTACTTGCGCTTTTATATGACAAAAAAACTATTCGTTTACAAATGTGGTATCTGTGATCTCATCGGAATGCATCAGTCTAGGTATCATAAGTACGCGCATGTGCAGATCGCTTGGTGCTTCGAGTAGTATGCTTACGAAACTAAATCAATGGCCTTTCTAGCGTTAGGCAGTCCTGTGTGGGCAAAGATTTCAAATTAGAACAAGAAGAAACATTTTTTATCAATAAAAAAAGGCGAGTTTATGATTTTATGGTATCATTTACTTTTGGGCCCACATAATCTACATACCAACGTTTGATTTTATCAGTGAAAGCAAGGACTACTTTAAACGTTCATTGCTGGTATCAATTATATGACCTTTTAGGTCAAGTTTATTTTAGTCTCAAGAGAGTTTGGATATTTCTTATTAGACCGTGAGTTCGGCTATTTTGGAGAAAAATTAAGAAATATATATTTTAATCTAATTKTTATCTTTTATGTAATATCCTGCTGTCTTTCTCAAGTTTCATTTACATTCWTAATATCWTATGATTAGACARAATATAACATCATAATCTTTTCACTCGTGTATATCAATTTTCAAAAATAGCTAGTCCGACTTCACGCCCCAGGGGCGTCTAGTTCTTGAACAGTAGCGGTTAAACTAATGCTACGTCGGTGTTAAACAATTTTGTAAAAAGATAAATTTAAAACCGTAAACAAAGTAGGTGAAATAACTTACTGACGTTTGGGACGTTAATCCGACGAAAGGATCTTGAAAATGAGATATTTCTTTGATGACGCTTTTTAAAACACTCCAAGAAAAACTTCAAAAGGTATGTAAGGCCAGGTTCAGACGTCGGTCTTTTGCCGCGTCTAATCTAATTGCTTACATGGAGTTCTCAAGATGTTTGCAGTCTTCGTCGATTGATATTTACGGATTATAGTAAGTTTGTCCAACAGAACAAAATCTACTAATGTCAATAAATTCAGAGTACAAAATGCTCATAAACTCAACACCAGCAATTACATTASACGCGACAAAAGATCGACGTCTGAAACGGGCCTAAGCTTGACCTGTTATCGGACATTTTCCTAGAATTTCCTTGGGAAACTAGAAATACTAGTTTCCAGTGTTGACACATCGTAGTTTTTTGTGGTCACAGAGTTTCTTTTTTTTAAATCGCCTAAATCAAACTTAAACTGTTTCTGTAGTTTCGCAGTTTCTAAGACGACCATAAATCCTCAAATCCGTTTTGTTGCAAGTGACGAACAGGGGTGGCAAAAAAATTAGATTATTACTTATAAAGATATAAACAGATTACAATAGAAGTTACGATAGAACGAATTGACAAGAAAGGAAAGCCGTGACACAAATATTGAGGTAAGGTGAAAGAAAAGAAATAAAAGTCGAGCTTACCGGGTTCTGCGTGCTTTGGGAAAATCTTGCATTCCGATGATGATAGTCGGAAGTCTTGAATTCCACAAGTAGCTTTGTTTACATTGGACGAAATGTTGAATAAGACCTACAAATACATACAAACAAAAGAGAAATGGTCCCTCAACATCCCTTTCGAGCCTTCGCTCATTTTGAAAATAAAAATACATTGTAACATAACAAAAACGTACTCTTTATTATCCCTTTATACTACTTGAAAGGAGATGCTGTAAGATTCGACTGCTTTAATTAAACCGATGGATTGAAACTGATTGTCACCTCATTTTCCCTATATGAAAAATCTAAAACACGACCGCATTGAATGCTGGTGGACCATGGCCCCTTAAGGATTTTGCTTTACATGATTGTAATCAAGAGAAATTGGCACAATTATTTAATTGCAGATATAAATGGCAAGTAAAATATTGGCTAAAACTATTATCATTTTCAGTGATCACTAATTTCGCGATTTGCTTCCGTCAATCAAATATGATTTGTATTGCAATTTGAATGTTTTTTCAATATTCTCCTCCGTTGTTTTTCTTTTACAGATTCAATTTAATTGTAAGCTCATTCTAGCCTGGCGTAGCGAAGACTTTCACACATTAAGTAGGATATACGGGATTATGATATTGCTGGAGAAAGTGATGCATGAGTATAAAGTAGTAGGCCAGGTACGTTGACAAACGATATGCAGCAAAGGATCTATTACAGCACGAGATATAACAAAGACTAATGCGCTTGAATTGCAAAAAGTTTCCAATGAAATGTGAGCTAGAAGTCCGTCGTAAAGAGAACCTCACGCATTCTAAAACGCATTGCATTGTTGTTATAAAATCCTATGTTAGTTAAGATGCAAAATGGCCCTTCTAGATTTAAGTGCTTTCAATCGAAGTTTTTTACTATTATACGGAGCTTCCATAGTCACTCTAAATTCGTCTGAATGCCGATAGAACAGCAAACAATGCATTTCGGTCTTGGAATAAACTATCTTCAGTATTAAACGTTTTCTGATAGCTATATCCTAGGAACAATAAGAACGTTTATTTTGAACCTTTTTCCCCTTATGTTGAACGCAACATACGGTCAAAGTTTCATTTCGTATCGAGCTGAGAAGCATGTTTTACGTAAACATTGAACTTCTTTATTGCTTGCATGTCATGGACTGTTCTTGTTATTCACTAATTAATTGTAGATTTAAAATCGATTAGGGCCGTTGCGATGTCTCATTTGGTCACGCCAACCAAGCTGCAAATTTATCAAACTTACGTAGCGTTCTTTGTACGCGTGGCTTTTCCCACAACGAAATAAGACAAGTACTTGATGAACAAAAAAGAAATTCTAATGTGTCCTTCTTGTTGTGCAATAAGCATCTTCATATCMTCAGTGTATCCTATTCTTTTACACCGAAATGTCTAAATGAGGAAGTCTTTATGTTTCTTATGTTATATCTTCATCTATTCGTACTGAAGCTTACGCTTTCATTATATTTTTGTAGYAAAAGCAACTCTTAAGTGTTATTTTTACAATACAAACCTTGAATTGCTCTTTTATTCGAACGATAGAAATACTGCCGTTTTTCCAAGATGCTCCTTGATATCCTTTGATTGACCATTTATGCTGATTCCCACTCTTTAGCAAAAGGTAGACATCAAGTCGCGATAGGCCTTGTGATGGGAGTCGATATGAAAAACTTGCACAAAGACTAATGTTTTTGAATGCTTCCCTCCATGGAAGAGTTGGTGACTGGAGATGCTTGGTTCCATAGCAGGAGGAAGATTTGTTGTAGTCTTCATTGACTGTGAACAAACGCAAAACAATTAAATGATCTCCAGAAATTTTCTTCTATAAAACTCCAGTTTCGAATTCTCTTTTGTGCAAGCTTAGATTCAATCAAGCATTAAGTTTTATTGTGTTCTTTGTACGCAGGGTGTTTGCATTACAATAGGATCTYTGCTGAAAAAAGAATATATTTACATGCTTTGGAGGTTAAGGCTGCACAAATAATATCTCGAAACTGGAGTATTATGATTTAGTTCGCAGTTTATGTGCATGAAAAACTGCATTCTCACCTTTTGAAGTGTCGGGAGTAAGACTACTTTCAGTTTGTACGTACACCTTCCAATCAGCGCTACAACTATGGTGACGAGAATCCAAAAGTCTACAGCTGTAAAATGTAGATTCTGGTGATGTTGAAAATATGCCCTATTATTGACAAGCAGGATATAATAGATGATTTTGAAACATTACTTCGTAATCGCAATTTGTTTTCGTTTTTCTTTTTTCGCACAAAAMGTTTTTTCAGTCGTCTTCGCCAGGCTTGCGTTGCCAAGCGATTTTGTGTTTCCACAGCGAGTTCAAAAATTGTGCATTACGCTCCTCAAACCTGAAGAAACATTACATWACAATCTCGATCAAAACCGCTCTTATTGTCATGAATGAATCAATCAGCATTTAAAAAAAAAGAGGCTGAACGAATACTACGTTCCAGTATTTTTGTTGTCTAAATTTATGGAGGCCTATCTTTTTAAAATCAACATCTGTGATTATAACATTCTATTTTGCTGGCTTGATATCATTCAAGGAAGGCGAGTAAAAATAGTATGAGAAAAGGTGATCTTTTCCCGAGCTATCAAATTATGAGATTCAAAGAAACCGTTCTTTTTTATACAACAAATGCACACAGGAAACAGATAAAACCTCAATCTAAAAGAAATTTTATGAATAAAAAAATATTTTTCTTCCCTGAATGGGTTTTCATTTGGTAACATTGTTATTGTATGTGACAAATCCAAACAAACATGTTGAAACCCCCTCTTTTTCAATGGAAAAATGGCATTTTGAAAAGAAAGTGATGTTATGCTTTACCAGAAACTTGAATTGTTTTAACTGTTCTCTTCTTTGTCCATCGTTCATCTCCATTTAGGTAGTAGCTTATCTGTGGAATTGAAAGAGGGCACATTTCTAATGCTGATCTTTTTTTCGGTTCAAAGCGGGTAACCGCTGTTTTGTTTAACGATAGATTCTTTTGCGCAAATACCTTACCGGAAACAAAAGCTAATCTTAAATGAGGCTCTGAGGAGTGTTCTCAAAACGTTTAAATCTTATGACTTTTGTTTATAAAAGCTTAATGTTAAACTAATTTTAATTAAGAAAGTTAATTTTCCCTCGATGCATGCCTCCTTCAATCAGTATGCTGCACCTTCATGATAAAAAACTACATCAATACGCGCGATTGACATTAAATGATAGGCAATAGCTTGCATTTGCACTGTGACGGACCTCTTCCCATGGATCATTCTAGTTAGCCAAAATGGTAGTTTATAGATTATTCTAGAACTTTCTATGAACCTTTAGTTATATGCTTTCTAGAATATTCTTCATGTGGTTAAGTGTTTTCCAGATCCTTCTAGACTTAGAAAAATGCTGAGTAATGTTACACTACAGAGATTTCTAGAATGGTGTAATATCTATATTTAGTAACAATGTAATGGGATATATTTAGTAACCCTATATGTATATAAGAGGCAGTCCAGCAACAGTCCAGGAGAGCCCAGCTCAGAGTTAGTATAATTGTAAAAGACCTAGCTTCAGAGGACCAAGAAGATTAAAGAAGTTTTCAGTTCTTACTGTCTGGCAATTTGATTAAGTGTCAGTTCGTGACAGCACTCCAAGTACTCGAATCATTAGTACAAAATGAAAATATAATCTTCATTTTTCCTTGTATTTTTCTTTCACTTTTCTTTGTATTTTTCTTCCATTTTTCTTTATATTTTTCTTCCATTTTTCTTTGTACTTGATAGTTAATGATATAGGATAGATACAATGTCTTTCGTTAAAGGAGCCGTCCCAGGGTGGTGCTTTGCGTGCCTCGAATTACAGTGAAGACCTTGATCAGCGCCATTTTCAACGACGTCGAAATTATTCGTAGTAATAGCTTACACAATCTGTCTAAAATCTCAAACATCTCCAGGTTTTTCCTAATGAATTCGATATATATTCTTTATTTAACATATATTCTTTTTTTTGAATTATTTCGAATATTGAGTCTTTTTTAAACGTGTTATATTGAGTTTGCCGATATGGCTCCAAATCAACGTAACGAAATCTTCTCGCGGTCGTCCACGCCGGAAAGAAGAAATAACTGAGGGATATCACGTTCAAAAGGCCTCGATATACGAACCTTGGAAGGACAAAAAGGACAGAATGGGCCTTTCACAGTTGAATAATAGTGAATTTGTGGAGCTGTTTTGCTTCAAGGACAGCCTGGGAGTCGGAGGTTTTYGTTCTGCTACATTACTTGCAAGAACAAAACTATAATCAAGCCACAATAAAAATACTAATCAGCCGTTATTTCTACAACCAAAGAGAAGAAGAATACTCCTTAATGATAGAGTTAATTAATATTGCACTYCTWCTCCTTTGGCGAGCTTGATCGGTCTCTGCTTCATCCAGTTCGAGGTCCGTTTCTTGACTCGAATCATTCGATGAAACATCTAATTCATCATCTAATTAGCTACCGACGAACCATATGCATTCACAGCGTGTAGGTTTGGCYATAAATTGGCAATTTAAATCGAGTTCTAGTAAGAATGTTYGAAAATATTAAAGATTAAAGATAAAATATTATTCGCGTTACACGCTGGACAAWTGCCGTATGTAAACAATAACATAAGCGCGCAAAGGATCACCCTGGAACGGCTCCTTTAATATGTCATCACTCTCATTTTTAGTTAGTGYTAGAAGACTTTTAACACTATTCAGTACCTCTATAGAATAGTTCTTTGGCTGTTGTATAACATCAATGGAGTAATTGAAARAGTATTCCATACAATCCATCTGTAAGCTACTGTTYACCAATATTTTCTGTTCGAGGGCGTGAAGATTGAGAGTCAAAGGACAGGTTGGACATCGYAGTCCTACACAGCAAAACTTGTACAAAGCTGTGGAAAAAAGTCATATGCAAGAATGCACGATAATAATTAGAGGCGATTTCGTATGAGTGGGAAACGGTGATGACGAATCGCGTCCGTACCGTAACTGTATCGTAGCTGTATCGTATTCATGGATTTTGATTGGTTGGCATTTTTTACGCTCAAACCTGATTGGATTGATTTGTATGTACCGTAGTTTGCCGAGCCGTAAGTTCGATTGTTGATTGGATGGAGCCGACATTTGCTGTATCGCGCGTTACGGTACCGTAAGCTGTATCGTAAGTTMRATCGTTGATTGGGTAAATACGGTGCWCGCGCGATACCGTACTTTAGCCGTATCGCAAGCGCGATTCCTGATTGGCTGAGAGACTTTCTACTGAYAACTGGTCTACATCATCTTGTCACACAACACCGAGTTGCTGAATTCTCGCCACCTGTTTTTGMDAAGTTTTCGACRGAAAATTYGAYCAKAAAAGCCTTTTAAGGATGAATGTCAATGGGAATCAGTTTTTTGTAAGTAGGGATTTTATAAAATGACTGGCAGATGTTGAGATTTGAAGATTATTATATCAATATTCATCAATTTCTCGCCATTTCGAGACCTCAAAGGTGTCGATCTGTTGAGAAAATGTAGTCTTGGTATCCTGATGTCAGCTTGATAAAATGATCTTTTGAATGAATAAACCAGTTGAATTAGCTTTTGTTTGCATTTATTTGAGAACTTTTAAGCGGTGAGAATATTTGAAATTCATTGTGTGAAAGGTTTTAGTTTGTCAAACTTTTGCGCGTGACATGTTCAGTCGATAGTTTTCAAGCATAACTTGAAATTTTTTGAACTACTTGCTTGACAATAATACCACTTAAATGTTTTGTTGGGAAAATTAGCCTATTTTTCGTTGTGATTATCACTATTTCTTGAGATTAACTTAAGAAAGGATCGAAGGAATCCGTATCGTAACCGTACCGTAGTCGTATCACGTCAGCGTCGGTTTCCCACTCATACGAAATCGCCTCTATGTAGTAACGCAAATATTAAACTCCGAAGAAGTTATAACGAAATATTAAACGAAATATTAAACTCCGAAGAAGCAGAAAAGCACATATGAGAGAAAAGGATAAACACATTTGAGGGAAGTTTCCTATGAACGTGTTAGTGGGATTAACGTGAATAATAAGARCAGCTCTCTAGRGCTCCCAAGGCCATTTATATTTATTTCAAGATTGGGAAGTTCCTTAGAAGTATTGGAGAAGATGACATTCTTAGTATTCTTTCCCGGCATTAGAAATGCAATTCTTCACAATTTTTCATGCAATTGAAGTAAAYRAGKAATCACAAGCTCAATCCTTTGCTCTCTCATTTTTTGACATGAACTCTTACATATTCTTGAATTTGGTGATTTTTCTTTYAATGYAGTCCTTTTTTGAGCTATCTTCAAATCATTTTGAATGCCAAGGACTTCAATTTGTGAAGCATATGAAATACGAAGAAAGCTATGAAACAATACGTCGAGTCCTTTACATGTTACTATATCACTGGACTTAGTCAAAAAGAAATAAGCTAGGAACGTACTGCAGAAATTGGGTCTGGGTTTTCTTCTGTTGGCCCATTTGCACCAACAAAGTGAATTCTGCATATATATATGTCTTTCGTACATAAGAAAGATCGCCGCGATCACAAGCTGTGCTATCCAGTGTAGCCTGTGTACATCCGTTTCTCACCCCTCCAAAAAAATCGGATTTTTTTGGAGGGGTGAGAAACGGATGTACACAGGCTATATCCAGTGCTGTCTCCTTTCATTTTGTCGACCTGAACTCGGAAAGGGATAAAACTTCATAGGATCATTTCTTGCGTTTTTTATCCATCGTTCGTGATATCGAGAATCGTTTTTGCATGTGCCGTAAGCACATCTTTTAGTAGTCACCATTGCGAGTTATTACAAATGACTATATCGTGACGTTACAAGAATGTCCGAGCTTTGGCGTTGTGTTTACATTCCAGGTCACGTGACATGACATGTGAAACATAGAGCCGAAAAGGTGAATTAATAAGCCATTTGACCGCTACACTTCTGCGATGCGTGTTATTTATGAGGTTTTCAGAAAAGGCTATCTGTTGTTGGGATGCGCTGTTGGGATGTGCTTTCTGATCTTTAGGTAATGATTATTAGGTCATTACTACTATACTTACATACTTAACATGAGTAACTTGTCAGTGATAATATGCTGTTAGTTACCTTTTATTAATAACTTTGAGCCAAGATTTATGTGAGAGCTGATGTTGTTTGTCAAACTAAAATGAAGTTCCCTTGACCCTA